AAATGCTATAATATTCCCTTTTAAGTAATTTTTGTATATTTAGATTCATATTATTTATTCAACATGTTGCAACTTACCTGTACACCGATATTACTCCTAATATTTTCAGGTACTGCAGCAAGAACGCTTTGAAAACATCTGAGAAGTGCCAGAACTGCAAGACGCTGCATATCTGGATGGGTAGAGCTCAAAGAAAAAGGTTCCACTAGATAAACTATAACTGAGGGAGCTTCACGCTCGTCATCATCATGTAACATATCGGATATACTGTTACCGAAGCTGGGTATGTCTTTTAAACCATCACCATCTAAACATAAAGAAACGTTTATAATTATAAATAATGTAGTTGTTTGGTTGGAAATGGTTTATTCCCACAAAACGAATGCAATTCCCCCGATTTATTAAAGCCGTTTAGAATAAATTTCCGCATTAAATGAGCCTAATTTATAAAACATAAGTTAATATATTTCACGTGTAGTATAGTATTTGGAGACTCTCGATGGCTCTGCGGATTATGACCCAAGTAAGATTAAGATTTTCTGTAGTTGGTAAACACACAAATTAACGAATTTAGACGAAAGTGAATGAATATACCACAAGAGTGAATCTACTCATAACATTGAATGAGAACAATCAACGAATGATGCAGGAAATTACCGAAAGTTCCAACTTATTTCCTCTATATGATCAACATACCTTGGTCGCTTTTAGGTGTAGATGGTGCCTTATCCTGAGACGAGAATGACTGTGAACTATTATTCGGATCCGGAGTGCTTGGTGGAGGCATCGGACTAGGCGCTGGCCGTTCCGAAATATTGTCACTAGGCGGATCTAGTAGAGTTTTATCCATAGGAACTTGTTGCAGGTGTGGAGCCAGATGATGTTTGCATACTTGGGCATACAATTTAAGCATTTCGCTGGCTTCACCATCCCCAAGCAAATTGAACCATTCTTCAACTGGTTCATTGCCAATTTTCATTTTTGCTGTTTTACCGACTCTTAAAATGCCGTCCCTAAGTACTTTAGTAATGGGACTATGCCTGCCAAGCTTGCAGATTTCGTATGACGCTGATAATTCCTGGAAAATAAGACATATTATTAATTATGTTCAAGGCAAAATCAATGAAACAGTCGTCGATCCACAGAGAGAAGCAGAAAATATTATAACTCGAAATTCAATTGAGCGATTGTTCGGCGTTCTAAAAAGACGTTTTTCTGTAAAATATCCTGGTGTGAGAGTATGTCTAGATACAATAAAACCGCTTATAATCGCATGTGCAGTATTGAATAATATACCACAAAACATGGATAAACCAAGTGCAATTCCAGACCCCAATTTTTAGTTTGATGCAAAAGAAATGACGTTTGGTCAACCGGCGTTTCACCCCGGCTTTTATAATACCCACCCTAAGACCTCGAGAAATGCCCAACATACCTTAAAGAAAGTCTTTACTCGAGGCAAAATAGCTTCGTTATCAGGGGCCACGACTACGTAAGCCACATCCCGGGAGTAAGAATATGGCTCCAACATTAAGCTTTCCCACTGTTGCAGAGCATAAGGAGATAAACACAGCCAATCTTTGTCATGCCCTACTATCACTGAGGGAATTGGTTGAGGTTCACAACGGTCATCCGTACCTAAAAAACAAATGAAGCTTACTTTTAAGCAATAATCTTACTTAATAACGTTCAATTTAGGGTTACACTCCGGATTTAATGACGAAATTTACGAAAAACCTTCACGCAGCACAGTCAGCAGCACATACACAGGTTTATAAATTATACATACCTCTTCCAGCTAATCTATGAAATTGTCGCCATGTCAATGGACCTTTAACGGCCGAAGGTGCTTCCCACAATCTTGTTTGGCATTTCTTTTGAATAGCATCTTGCAACAAGGGCTGGAGCGATTTCATTACCCTTACAATGTCTTGATTGCACTGAGGCCCTGGTGCTCTCAGATAAGGCCACTTATGTACTCCGAAGGAGTTGTTCAATTTTGAATGTTTATCGTTCTCCATCTGGAAGTGATAGTTTTTTATGAAAACTTGTAGCATAAAAGCGAGGATAATTTAAACCTACCTTGCACATGCCCAGATTTTCTAGCAAGTTTTTACTCTGTTCCAGTGCTATGCTGGTAACCTCGTTACTGTCCGAGTATTCCAAATAATGAAGAGGATTAGAGTACACTGCTCCTTTCGAATGTTTAACATAGCGCGCAGCTCGACACAAAGCATTCGCCGTACTTGGTATGAACACCAGTTGGTCACAGATTAAATTGACAACGTTATGTGGTATAGATTCCAATTGGTCACGATCTATTGTTGCATCCGATTTCAAGCAGTTCAGCGAAGTTAGCAGAGACGCCAACGAGGACTTCTTCCGTTCGCCGGGGTCTTCTGCTATTCCTAAGATAGAGAAATATGTTCTTATATATTCAATGTCCACTTGACATGGTACAGCACAATCAATGTTACCTGATACATCCTTTAAAAGTAGGAGCAGGCACTAGAATTATTGAATGTCTAATTTCCGATATTTTACACATGCAGGAATCCAGAGGAACAAGTCGATTTATTATAAAAGAACCCCTTCAACATAGTTTTTTTTGTGATTTGCCTTGTGCCAGTTGTAATTAATCACTGGCGGAACCAACGCGATTTTTCAATGTTTTAAATTACGAAAAATAGCCTTATTTAAATAAAACACTGTTAGGTTATACGAATAACAATTACTAATATTCAGTTTGCAACTATAAAGTAATGTAAACAAAATGTTCAGAAAATTTTGAGAACTTATTCATAATCACATTCTCAGTAAGGAAAAATTAATAATTGTACCTGTTATTTCCATTTCATCTTCGTAAAACAAACCGCTTCCGTAAGCAAGTCGCCGATTAACAACAGCTGAAAAACCACAACTACATCGGATCTGGTCTTCCTCTGAAGCGCCGTGATGTTGAGGAGACATCATACTTCCATAGGGAGGCGGTTGCCCTAAACCTGGATACGGACTAGTGGGTTGTGCACTTGCATGGAGCTTATCACTATGTGAATTGAGCAGATAAATGCCCGAATCTGCTCCACGAATATTTCCAACGACCTAAAAGCATAGAAGAATTTCGTTTCTCCACCTCTAAACATTAGCATTGAAATGGCCATATTCAAGGAGCTAAAAAGTATTCATAATATAGTGGTATCTCTTTACCTTAGGACTTGCATTACAAACGCAGAGCGTACAACTATCGAAATTGTGATCCCTGAAGATATTGAAAGCGGTGTCTGTCAGAAGAATATTAAGTACCAATGAACTGGCCTCTGGTGTACGGTGGTTTGGTTGAGGTGTCGGTACGGGTTCCACAGAATTAATATTCTTATTGAGATAGGAAGATGTGGTTGAATTAGCTGGCGACGGCAACTCATAAGGTGGTGGAGGTGGTCTGAAACCTAAGTGAAAAACTGGCTTAACACATGCTTACTATATAATTGTGAGGTGTAAATAAAGCCAGAAGAATTAATGAAAACTTAACTTACCAGGTGGGTGTAATGGACTAGGTGGAAATATTCCAGCATTTGGATGAATATTATTGGCCATTGAAGGCGTAGGTGTTCGATTCCTGCTATTGAGATTATTCGAAGTATTATTGTTGTTATTACTACTAGTTGTGTTATTATTGTTCGAGTTTTGTTGGTGCTGTTTGTTATTTTCCATATGTTGTACCCATGAAGGTTTGTATGTACAATTGCCGGGAACAGAAAGTGGTTGTACTTGACTGGGAAGATTATTCAAAGGTGCGTATTTACTACTTCCGACCATCTTACAGCACAATGAAGGTTTAAAAACATAACTCCAATCATCTGAAACAGAACGCACACTCATAACTCATAAGCAAACACGTTCTCACACGAATGTTTCGAAGTTCTACGAAATTTAATAGACAACTACTAACCTATATTCTCCTCTTGAGGACTACCCATCATAGGATAAATATTTTCTTGTTTTACTCTCACTATTGTTATATCAGGATAATCTTGCTGGCCCAAGTCCAGTTGGCCACACGGGGAAGCAATTGGATTGTGTTCCAAACTGGGTGGAGTTGGAAACATTTTACTAAGCTCAGGGGGCATACCAACATTAGGACAACCTCCTAAGTTGGTCTGACCATGACCTGAGAGGCGTTTAGTCGGAATGGTATCATCATGATGCAGCAGATGGTGGTTGGTTGTGGGACCCGCTGAGCCGGGAGGCGTCTGAATTTGTATCTGCGGAAAGCACTACGATAAGAGAGAAAGAGGTGTGAAAACATAGACAACACAAACAGAACGTGGTTATAGTAAGCATAACACTTAACAAAATGAGCTTGAGATATACAGAAAACTGATTAAAAATTAATTTATCTTCATTACATAAAACAAGCTGTTGACCTGATGCACAGTGTAGTCCAGTAGGATTAGATTTTTCTGGTCACTAAGAGAATAAAGATGAAGAGGAAATATTTCCCGCTGTGGAACATTAATTAAATAATTGAAGAATGTGCGAAAAACAGTTTTTTTGCTCATAACTTTAGAACCGTTGATGCTTTTAAAAAAAGTTTAATACTTTTTTTCCTATTAAAAATACCTACAATATAAGATAAATTGAATTAAAATCCGTTCATTTCCTTACTCAAAAAATGCCAATTTCAGCGTTTTTTTAGATGTTCTATAATTAATTTAGTTTTGCTTTTAAAAAATCTCACTATACCTTTTTTGAAGGTCTTTCTATATTAAGTGGTATAAATTGTAGCTTAAAATATTCATAACTTTTTGCTCATTCATTGTTCATTTGTTATATAACAAGAGCTCTTGCCAGATTCTAAATAAGTTTTTGGACTTCGAAGATACTTCTTTGAGGCTATATTTTACTCGTAAAGAGTTATACTACTACGTACAATAAAGGAAAATTTTATTACTGAATGATAAATTGTTTAAACATTAAGTTGAAAATCAGGAATTTGTGAGCCGCGCTTTCAGCTGTCCCGCGACTGAAATTGTCACCGTCAACCACGTACCTACAAAATTCCTGATTTTCAACTTATGTTTAAACAATTTACCATTCAGTAATGAAATTATTTATAGTTATTGAGATTAAAACGGCGAGAAAACTTTAAAAAATCGAAATATAAGTGAGTCATGGGCTACATTTTAAGCCATTTGAATGTGCAAAATACTTACAACAAAAGCAAGTAAATTATTGTTTTAAATTGACTGGATTTCAATACAATTTAAAAACATTTATGACCAGCTAGTATTAGCAAAGACTATCACATGAACATATGCTTTATTGCCACAGAAAAGTTCACAAATTTTATGAACAAGCTTCATCATGAGGGCTTAAGTATGTGTTCCAATTTGAAAAGATCAAAAGTAGTCAAGTAGTATAAAGTATCAAAATTTAACAAAGTAAACATATATGTAATTATGAATTAATTCCAGGACTTAATTATTTAATTTTCACGATGATGTAAAACGTAAGATTAAATTGCAACAAACATTTACATGTAAGGGATAACAATAACTAATTAAACTTGCAAAATATGTAAATCTTCTTACATATTTTGTTAATACAAATTTTTTAAATATTCGCATATTAAAATTTTTCTGTTGAACAAAAAAAAAATTACTGACAAAATGTTAATTATTGTAAAATACAAGCAGTCAAAACTAACCAAGAGGGACATGAAAATAGCTGTTTCGACATTCTCCATTTTCCAGTTTTAAAGTGTAAATTTCAAGCATTTTTCCAAGGTATATTCTAATGTGGGGTAAAGTATTTAAAAGCTTTTATGTTTTCAACATTAAAATAAACTGAACTAAAAAAAATCTGAGTAATATGAAAATACTTGAAGACAAAATTAAATTATGAAAATGTGTGATGGAGGCAAAATCAAGTAAAACGAATAACTATTAAAGCATAGAGATAATCATTAATTTACCAAAACATGTAAAAATTATTTCAATATAAAATTAATGTGCATGCTTAAAGTATCCCTTCAATGATGCAATTATACGATATTGAATATGTAACTGTTTAATTGAAAAAAATGGGAACGTTCTCCTGTTAAGATTTTCTGAAAGAATATTCCAATTTATTTAGTTGACAACATTTTTCCAACTTCCCAAAAACGTACTATTTACGTTGTACTTACGGCCTCGTCGCTACTGGTATAATCAGAATTATCAAAGATCTGCTCCAAATCTTTGTAGGAAGGTTGCAATCCCTCACTCGTAAACAAAATATCTTTCTTGTCTTTGGGTTCTTCTTTGATAGGGGGAGTTCGAATAAAGCCGTCAATTTTACAGTTGGGATTACTTCCATCTTCTTCAAACTCGTAGGGATCACCCGGACGCTTAATTCCGTGCGATTGTTGCATAGATCTCGATGAATCCATTTCGGACTAAGGTGAAAGAAAATTTTTAACACACAATCGCTCAAACTAATGCCTGTAAATTTACCATCGTTCCTGGTTCTTGCTTAATTTCCATCTTAATGGTATTATTCATGTTATTTATATCGCTACATTGACTAATTCCATTATGATGGTACAACGTGTATAGATCAACTCTTTTTCCAAATCTGCTGTCTTTGCTATCAGGCTTGAATCGTTTCACTGGAAGATTCAACCATGCCTCCTGGGTTGAATAGTCATATAGCATATCTAATGTATGTTCCTCTTCACCAAGCGCTACTTCATACTCTAAAAAAGTATTTTAAATAAATTTCATAAATATTAACTAACTAATATTTTGCTACCTTTAGTAAAAAGCAAAGGTCGCTTTAAGTTTAACAAACTGTTGCTCTTATCACCGTCATCGGTTGCTCTTTGCTCTCCCATTTTGTTCTCCGAGTCACATTTTCCTTCAACAGGGCTAATAACTGGACTGTCCACACTTTTAGGTGGCAATCGCACACTATCAGGAGGAGTATGTGACTTGTCTCGAGCCAAAGATGGTGATTGATCTGATATGGGAGGATTAGGTGAAAGAGTTGGCATAGTGGCATCCGCTGGTGGCACCTAAATGTACATTATTTAGCAAAAAAACAAATCGGTTTTAAGAAATAGATTACCGATGCTGGCTGTGAATGAGGACCTTGTAACGGTGATGGAGCAACTGAAGCAGGACTTCCTACAGAATTCACAATCATGCTTTCTTGAGTTCGAGGATAGGATGGAGGTCCTCCTTGCGGCGTATATGACCCACCTAGGCATGATCTGAAAAAATAATAAATTGTTAATAAATTTAATATTAGGTGCATTGTGTAGGGATGAATCTGAGCCATTAGTTGTGTAAACCCTTCTTCCTGACATGAATTGTTTAGAAGAGCGATGGTTGCTTTTCCCTGCCGATTCCACCCATGAATACTTACTTCTACAAGTTGCAATAGAAAATGGGAGTTTTACTTCTTGTTTTCATTATTTTTTTGAGCTTGTTTTTTTGAGCATTGTAAGAGGTTTTGTTGAGCAAAAACTGGGCTGAGCATTGAAAGAGGAATATACTTGAATTATAAAACCAAAATCAAATTGAAAGTCAAAAGAAAAATGATTTATTTAAACTTGATAGCTGGTTTGCTTTGAGCATTGACAAAAATAAAAAGTTCTTGCTTCAAAATACATCAAACCCGATTAACAAAACACTTTCATCGCCTTATTGCGTCTACATATCCTGCATAGAATTTCAAAAAACTGTTAAACATCAGACTGATACACATTAAGAACGGCATTTTGTGTATAAGAACAACCATATGTGTCTAGATGTGCAGTTAGAGTAAATATATATATGTACAGTGGAAAATATATATATAACACAAATTTGCATCGATTTAATACTATATGAGATGAGATTAATAAAATTGTAATAATCCCAAAGCCATGTAAGCATTAGACGGTACAAAACACCATGTTTTAGAATTCGCAGTGTCCCCTGTTAAATTGCGAAAACCATTACCTAACAGGTGCTGGACATTAGCTTGAAGTAGAAAAAAATACCAGAATAGTTATTTGACTGTTGACTGACTTTAGTTAAAATTGTGGTGCTTTTTAATTACTCCAAGCCCAAGTCTACCCTATAGACGTTAAATGGAACAAGACAGTAGCACATTCCGCAGAGCAGCGATGCTTCTCGACCAACCTTGAGTCTGTGGTTTGCGGTGGTTGAGACGTCCCCCTGATTGGGGATGTCTGAGATGGCCTGGGCTCCGGCTTAGGAGTGGGCGATCTCCTGTGAAAAGGAACACGATTTTTTGATAGTTTTTGTGGTCTCGGTGATGTACCCAACTGGAGACTGGAGCCCAAGCTAGACGAGGACTGCAGCCATTTTGAGCTCGATGAAGAGACATATTTCCTAGGCCTACAGTTGAAACAATTATGGGGTGAACTTGATAGAACACTAAATTCCAATAAAATGCATTGGAATGAAAATAAATCGAATCGAATCGAATCAAAACGCAGAAAGTTTTCAGTTCAAGGTATGAGTTTTGGACGTGTTGCATCAATAAGCAATTCCCAATACCTATTCTAAGGTAAAGCGGGGTACGACACTTAAAAACATTACATCGTTCTTCGCATTGTTGAATAACTAATTTTGCTTATTACAACTGAAAGTAATTTGTCATGTCCGCCTTCTCGCCATCAAATTGAAATTGAATTGACAATGATTTACATCTTTGCAAGCGTTGAAATTATTGCAAATCATACTTACTTTAAACAGGTACAGATCGTTTTCCGTGTTGGCTCTACATAATCCCAGCAACCATCTTCCTTGCTAGCTTTATCGAGAAAAGCACCACTGTAAAGGCACTGCTGCCACGTTTGTTCAGCAAGAATTTGAGCGGCGGTTTGATCCCTTGACATACTATTAATATTTTCTACTGAAACGGTATGCGCTCCAGGTTGTGGTACTCGACTGTTTATTTGAATTGGAGATGGTGGTGGCGTCACCACAGTAATGGGGATGGATTCGTTTGGGTTAATGCAGTTCGACTTGGGTATGCTGAAATAAAGAAAAAAATAATTTACTGATGTACATTTTCAACCCAAATAAACATGAGTCTGTTGGGATTCGAAAAATTAACAAAATTTCGTATCAGAAATCAAAAATGTGTAAGTAAATTAGTATTTGTTAATTGGTTGCATGGTTCTTTTACCTTTCATTCGCTCTAGTTAAGTTAACATGACAGCAACCGAAGGAACTAAACATCGGATTTGTATAATCGTCCAAGTCGGTCACCAAGACATAGCACGATGGATATCTGGAAATATCAGAAAATAATAAAACTCAATATTAAGAAAAGTAAAAATAAATAAATTATATTGCAACAAAAATAGGTCGCAAAACTACATGTTATGTTTGCAAAAACACTTTGTAATAAAGGAAACCAGCGCCAGAAAATATTAAAGTTGCAAATTCTGGGGTTAATTAGGTCTAAGGCAACTCTGATTGAATTCATTTGCAAATTAAACTGTATTTACCTTCTTCGAATTAGATCCCCCAAACCATTGCACAATACTTCCGAATTTTTTAAACCAAAAGTTAATCTGACAAATGAATCATTTCCTGAATGATGCACCCGACACATTTACTCATTAAATAGTTTTCCAATTTGTTCTTTACTAGTTACGACTTGTTTCACTACAGCCAGTATGAATTAGATATTTGAATGGATTAAAAATGCGAAGTGTCGCTTTAAACTATAATACTAAAACCGTACTCAAACAATATATGTATATAAACAACCGAATACACAGTTATAATGTAACCGATTAGATGTGATAAACATGCAAGATTAAATCAAAGAAAAAAATAAATCATAATTACCTCATTTTTGAACCCTTAACAATCACTTCCACCACGCTACTATCGGTAAGCGATGAACTCTTGTCAAGTGGATAAAAATGACCCCAGTCGTCTATAAATTTTGCGGTTGTCTCTGGTGGCCTGAAACTTTGTCCCGTCAATGTTCCTGCAAGTCCGTGAGGGGCCAAAATAACTAAAAAATAAAATTCCATTAATAAAAAAATTCGTTTTTTAAAACTCAGTCTCGATAAAGAATTAGTATCATTCTTAACAAAAAACCGTAAAACAAGAGACGGACTACCGAGGTAATTGCCAACACCAAAACTTTCGTTTTATTACTAAAAACCATTTGACTTCCAAATTGAAAATATTTTTCGCTAATTACTTCGACGTAACTGAGTTGCAGAAGATTCATTCAATTTACAGTTAGCCTGCACGGCAAGAAATGAAATGACTCCTACATTTGTTCCATGTAAATGAACATTTATGAAATTTACATTAACGGCATGTAATTGGACAGAAAAGAATAGGAATGGCGCAATCTAAATAGAACTCCATAGATTTTCCCGGGCCTTATGCTGCTTTGTAATGTAAATACTGGTTCGCATTAATAATTTAGTTTAAAAAAAATCATCAACTGCTAAAAATAGGTAGGAAATGAACACAATATTGGGTTCCAAATTATAGAAGCCCCTATTTGTATAATCAATTACGTTTTCCATCAAGCAGCAGCAAAATAAACTGATATCAGTTAAACAAACACAAATAGCCCCCCCCCCCCATTCTACTAGAGTTTTAAGTGAATATTTAAAACAAATTACAACAGTTTTAATGAAGAGGAACTAACCATTGATTCCTCCAGTACTGGCTTGCGCTTCTTGCATATGCCACCTAGTTAACCTGCGCACGGCAGGATGCTGCCTCACATCTATACTTGCGCATACTGAACTTTCTCCATGCACAAAGAATGCAAATGCAAAAGACAGATGACTGGCATTATGGGGCGGAGTGGCATATGCTTCTGGACCGATCCCATTCGGATTGTCCGGATCGGAAGGATCGAAACGAGGAGCCGGGTAGTCGTATGGTTGTACAAACCATTTGCCCAAGCGAACAAAGTCCCTAGAAATAATTTACAATTGTTAAAAACTCATTTAGTCACAATGTTTTTGAGTATTATTACCTTGACAATAAACTTCGTTCAATTAAATTATGTAATGCCTTGAACAGTAGAGATCTACATTCATAGGATAGGCCACTTTCCCAGGAGCCCTGTTCACAATCTGGAAATAAAATATGCTAAATTAGTCATCTATTGACCTCGCATATGGTTTTTGGTTGCTATTCATTCAATAAATGATTTGAAAACTATTAGTCGGTGGGTGAGACAACATCGGTAACCTGAGATATTCATGAGATTCATCATTTTATCAGTTACAAAGAACAGTTTAAATGTAAGTTTTCCATGTTAACTCTCCTTACAATATACATATACGACTTACAGTCTTCAAAAAGCTCACAAGCGTGTTCTTAATTAATATCGATGTACTGTGCCAAAAACATATATCAGACTTGATTCCTTAAAGCAAATGGGCTCAAAATTACTAATATTTAAATTTTAAAAATTAATGACAAAATAAAAAACTTAAAAACGTGTGTTGAAAAAATCACCATAAAGGCTTATGATGGTTTACAGTATTTTCGTTAATCCGTTGATTGAACCATTAAAAACTTGCAGCCGTTGAAATTGGGAATATGAAAATGTATGCTAGATCAAAAGGAATACGACATAGACGTGTAAATACCTGAAAATATACGCAATTTTTAATGGCGTAAATGGGCAGTTTTAAATATAAATAATTTATTTAATGACGTAATTTACGGCTCATTTATTCATAAGGCGAGATGAAATGAATTTCTATTTGTTGCGTCTTTTTCCGCTTTTTCAAACAAAATTGAACATACCGAGAACAATGTATTTTAGGACATCACTACAAGCGCTCAATGCTATACATTTGATGATGTTAAGAAAACACCGCAGTTGAACCAAAATATAGCATTAGAAGGTTGGGAATACAAAGCACATACAATGAAGACAAAGAATTGAATGGTGCAAATAGAACATTATATTTTATATAGTTCTTCATAGACTCGCAAGCCTTGCTGACAATGCAATTTTAAAAAATAAAAAGTTCTAATACTTAATACAAGTTAGAAATACAAAAGTAAATTTAAACTATAAAGATTTTTTCACTTTTTATACCTATCTGATAAGTGAAAGGAAATGCCTAGTCAACTATTACCGAAAGTAATTTGCAAATCATGCATCAAATGCATGTGAAAAACCCGAGTAGGTATACAGAAATCAAAGTTACCAGAAAAAGAAGATGATAAATAAAAAGTAAAATTGGTTATCGAAACTAACAACGTTATATCAGTATTTGAGTTTTGCTATTAATGCAGTACCTAAATGACCAGCTAATCTGAGAAAATAAATTAGTTTTTATTAAACAATTGGTGTATCTGATTCTCCTAATTTAGATTGCTTTTTAAGAACAAACCCCCTATTTTCTCTAGTTATTCAATTATCCTAAATTTGATAAAAATATTTATCAACATTAACCATTTAACCTATTTAAAAATAGAGTGAATTATTCAAAGATTTTGTGAGTGAAGACGCAATTCTACGCAAGTATTGGATGATTAAAGATCTAAAAATCGATGGATGATAGTAAGTTAACACGACGATTTTAATGAAATGAGAGACAGTAAGCAGCTTAATAAAATTGAAATTTAAAAACTTCGGACAATTAGAATTACAGCAATTTTCGTGTACATAGTTTGATTTTTACCTACTGTATATGAAAGAAGCTGGTAGTCACTTCTACCATTTGCTACCACCGCCTAACTTCTTGCTTTTGCATATAGAAAGTAAAGCGTGAAGTTGCTTAAATTCAAGCGATAATTTACGCGTCTTTTTTCAAAAAAAGAGCCCCGCTTAACGTATGAAAAAAAGCAACAGCCAATAATAAAAAGCTCTTTTTTAATAAACAATACATTTCGCAAATTTTTTTTAGTTCTAAACTAAAAAGAAAACGATTTAAAATAGTACAGCTTGCTTAAAAGCTTGCTTACAATCGTTTGCTGGGTAATTTTTATTTTTGAGGCCTAAATTCTGTGAATTCTCCATTTTCAGATGAACATTACCGTACTTTACACATCCAAAAAAAATTATTGTGCAAAACTCGATAGTTTTGAAATCCAGACCAATAAAAGCCATTGTCATCAGTCAACTGAATTCTAAACCAGATTCCTTAGGTATTAGACTTCTCAGTTTCATCCAATCTTAACAATGGGAAGCGCACATTATTGGATTAGCGCAAAAACTATGCGTAAACCTTGACATGATTTTGCTTCTGTTTTTAGTGGATCAGTAGGTCGATCGGCTTCTGCCGACTCACGACTTAAATGCGCAATGTAATAAAAGGATGAAGAACTTTAACACCGATCTTCTCAAGTCTCGTTCTTTTTATGCCATTGTGTAATGGGTAAAAACAAACAGAGAAGATACGAAAAGAAGATATTGAAGATAACCGTTACGAAACAGCAATCAGTGAACGACATCATGTATAGAGTATGTAAAGAGAAATTGTCTAGGAATTTTAATAAAGTTTTGATATGAAAAGGATAGTGAAAGAAACTGATGAGACCAAATAACCAATAAAATTTCATAAAAGAGACATAGACAACGAAATATTTAATTCAAATAAATGTATATGTATAAAGTACTGCGATATTCTCTAGATCAAAAGACGGTCAGTCCTAACTTCTGTTAAGATTAAATGTTTGGCTCCTCTGCCATTAATATTATTTTATATAATTTTATATAATATCGGAGGATTAAACGAATTTTATAAAACTTTCCGTGTCAATCGGTTTTGGGCAAGTAAGAAACTTTTCAGTGTTTTGATACAAAAACTAGCAGAACTTTTTACTTGGTAGGTAGTTGAAATCAGTTCTATTTTGTTTAGTGGTTGCATTAATTCTTTTAGCGTAGTATTTATAGTTTTCCCCCAACAAAATTTACATGTTTCGAAATAAGCATTATTATTAATTTTAACTAAATGTCCATAAAAATCTGTAACTGATAAATATCATTTTATTTCATTAAAGTATTCTATTTCAGCCAATTCTTCATTAGAAAACTGTAACGAAAACTGTAAAGGTTTGAGAATTAATCTGTAATAAAAAGACATAATTTCCAGTTAATGTCTGAAGTTGATAAATAGCATTGTAGGAGAAGAAATTGTTTGTACAAAGACTAGGAATGTTTCAAGGATTTGCCAATAGCACGAAAATATCGGGAAGAGGTTATTTACCGCTTAATATTAACACAAAATTAAAATTGCTCAAGTGTGGTAACTTCATCAAAATAAGTATAAGCCCTTCGTAGGAACAAATCCCCAGTAAGTTTCATTAAAATCCATATTCGCACTCTCCCAATATTGGCAGTGTGAGTCCACCATTTATTAAACACTTGCAGACATTTAAATGTGGATAACTAACCCATTTTTAAATTTATCCAACAAACCAGATTAAAAAAGAGAACTGTAGAAGAAAATTAGCTGAGCTATTTTTTGCATCCAACTAGCTCTATATTGGAAAAATCATCGACACCTCCAGTCAATTTAGGGCATAAATTGCGAAAAATATACGAGGTAGGGTGCATTCAGCGAACGCTACAAGAAGTTAACTTCCTTTATACGATGACTGGTTAGTTATCTTCCAATTCGAAAGCACAGTTATTTAGTTACGGATCCATAAGCAAACCACTGCGTGCAGACCAACCTCATTGTTATAAATAAACTAACAACAAAAAGCTTGACAACGTCGCTTATCAGCCGAGTCTCATGTGATTTGATAACAATGATCGTAAAACAACAAATGCAAATTATAAAAATGTTTATTTTATCGTACCAGCTTTTACCTTGAGTTGTGTTATGACGACAAATCGCAGAAAGCACACCGCCTACACGGTGTACCAAATAAATTAAGCCGTAACGTGCGTTTAGTTTACAAACAGTTTAAGTGTTTGTTAAGTGAGCAATGTATTTAATTAGCAAGATGTTTACGGCTGTATAAATATAGTTTAAATTCAGAAATTCCAAACGAATTCCGTTCAAATCCAATGGCGATTTTCACATGCTGGTTGAAACCGTTATATGCATGTTGGGTATTTATAACATACTATGCAGTTCTGCAATAATAAATTGGTTTTAAGCATCGATATAAATTAACGCCGTATACTGTGTGTTGATAACGGCTTGAGAAAGGTGAAAAATTGCAGTGAACTTATCTACTCCTAGATAACAAACTCGTGCCCATGAACAATCGTATCTTGAATGCAAGATTAATCCGGAAATATTCAGCAAATAAAACATACATATACCTATCTATGTAAAATAATGCATATTTTGATAAGTTCTAAGCAAACTACAATGAAATATTGATAGTTAATCTCAATCCAAATTACCAACGGAAATGGCACACATAGATTGGTAAGTCGAGTAGTAAGTATGATGAAGTCGAAATATTTTCTGATAACCAGGTATTTACTATCTAATCAATGTATAAAGTCTATAATTTCAAATCCGATTTGGACTACCTTCATTGCGCCTGTTACATCAACTATTTTTAGAGTATAATTTTAGCTGATCTCACTCATGTGTGGACTGTAATTGTGTGCAAACTCCCTACCCAGGCGTTGTATAAAAACTACTACTGTGTTTGTAAACATTCAAAATATGCGTTTAATAATTATCATTCCATCCCACAGGCACAGTTCGCTCCAAAAGCTGGTATGTGAGAAGTGTGAATGGGAATTTCGATTCTCTCTTGCATTGGAAAACTTTCCAACGTGAGATTTTGATAAGATTAAAGCTGAGATCAGCTGCATCTTTACTTTTAATTTCTTTAACTTTTTGAAAAATGGTCTTGCCTACTGAAAAAACCGGTGCTTTATTTTTCTTACATATTCCGAATAAAGTGTTTTTTGCACTTAATTTTATGGATCAGCTAATGTCGAGTCAGATTTGGTTGCATATTGAAGCTTCAGTGTACAGTCTGATTTATTAATGTATAGTTCATTACCCGAATATGCTCCAATGCTTGATAACTCCAACAGAATATTAGGCGCCTGCTTTTACCCATCGAGTTATGTGAAAACCCGTTAATTGTGTGTATTTCGAATTGTGGAACTCAATTTTTCCATGTTTTTTATTCCTAATATTTTGACATTTACTAATTTCCATTCCAATTCCAATTTCCAAGTCGCTTTCCTTTCTACTGGCTGTTTTACTGGAAAAGTTTATCTAAAATTTAAAAATCCAAAGATCAATCCAAATCTGCCAAATGTCTTTAAACATTTTATATCGAGATTCTGTGGCATAAAAATGATAATTGATTAAGCACGTGGATTGCCTGAAACAATAAATCCAATTGCGATAAATTCTTCAATGAATCAATTCCAAATGCCACAAAAGATTTCGAATCGAGATTCAATTGTTCAACGCTTTAAAGCTTCAACTTGCAACATCCTAATTCCATTAAAGCCTACATTGCATAAACACTGTCCATTTCTTCGGGTGCCCAAATCGTTGGATTTAAAACAATAAACACATCAAAAAATAAACATAATTTAAAATATATGCACATGTTATTCTTTCCATTCCATAATACAAAATCGTTAAAACCGATTTGCCGGTATTTGCGAAACCAGCCAAACGCGCTTACTACATCCAAAGTCTTTTGTATAGATTGAGTTTTCCTAAAGTTACCAAATTATGGAAATTTTAAGTCGATTATAAAACGCCAAAGCTATTTTTAGTCGAAATTATTTGTTTTCTATCCCGACTACTTATTGACGATATATTCAATAGGTACGATGTAAACCACATTACTATCGATGTGCGGCGCAGTTATACCCATTATTCAGTCCTGGTATTTGATGAGAGTCTATTTTCGAATCGAAACAACTCCTTCAATAAAGGTTTCTCAATTTACGGATGATTATTTTTAGATGCTGAAGTTTAGGATTGATGTATCTTCATAAATGCCCAGGAATTGCGCGATAAATAAACAGACATCAATTTACAAGACACATACTAGTAAAACATATATTAAGAAAGGAAATTGTATATGAATATAAACACAAAACAACCAACTGACTCAAATGAATTTTAAAAAACTTCATATCAGCCAGTTTTCTACGCCTTCGCAATTTCCCAATTTCAGGAGCGAGCCTTAGTATCGAAGCTGCTCTATCAGACTCTATCCCTTTATTGCCATGGCAACGAGTTAGTTTAAAGCTGCGTTGCCAAACACCCAAACGTCCCAGATAAAATCAGCTTTAAGTTTTAAAAAATTCTAACATTTTAAATACATGAAGCGACAATTTCGCTTAATTTATTTGATTAATAGGTAGGGATTTATGGGTATGATTTCGCCTGCTGAATTATAGGATGGATAGTTCTCAAACCTTGAGACAAGGAAAATTCACGTACTTTTCAGTATCTAGAGTACCTAGATTTTTTCAAAAAAATTTACGAAGACCCACGAACATTCGTATACTCACGACATTCTACATAGAATCAATCAATACTTGATACAAACGGTTATATCTATGCAGGTGCCAACGTAAGTCAAGCCAGAATAGCTGCCAATATCCTTTAATATGCTGTTTATCGTTCACAATTGTCTGTTATATATTTTTCGTTGTTTATTTCTTTATTTTTCATAATAATGGGGTCTTTTAAGCTGGTACAATATGTTACCAAAAATTTCACTTAGATTTTTGCTCACGTACACTATATGTCAAACACTGTTTTATCTTAATTGCTTATACAATTTTATTTGCATTACCTCTAATGTAGAAATTTGCGAGTTTGATCAATTTCACGAATTAAAAAAACTACAGTCAAACTCAAATTACTTTAAAAGCTACTAGGCAATAAAATTTTCCTTAGACGCAGCATGTTCAAAGCAACATTGAAAAGTCCTAATAATGATATAGAAGAAAACATGTTTAGATAAAATGTATTAATAAAATCAACATTTTGAAGACCTTCTATCAATAACTTGCCTTAAAAGGTTGTAAATCTCCAATAACTTCAGGCTTAAACAAATTAAATAAGTGTCTTATAATTTTATTAGAACAAAACAAAAATGAGAAATTTTTGGACTAGCCAACTTGAGGGAAAACTTTCACTTGGCAGCCTTTCAAAATTTCAAAACAATTACTATCGCCAAAATTAATGTTTTCTTTTTCAAATTTAATTTTTTCTCCCAAAAAGAGTCTTGCTAAAACGTCTAGAAACTCTTGAAAAATATGGAAAACGTTTCTAAAAAATACAGTATCTCCAAAACAAAAGCGAATGCACAGTTTCTGAGCACGGTACTGGATGGAAAAAGTCAAAGTGCATAAAAAATGGTACTCACTTGTCCTCTAAACTTCTTAATAAGCCGATCGATTTTGCAAGAAACATTTCGAAATTTGATCCGAAAACCAAAATTCTTTAGACCAATTTTCACTTGGAAGACCTCCGAGAATTCAAACCCATCAATACCGACGAAAACATGTGAAAAAAATTATATCAACAATCATGATGCTTTAGTCCTACTCAAAATTCGCCTCTATTTTTTTTCTTCCAAAGGAAGATTCCCAGCGAAAAATGTTGCTCTTGATAAAACGTCCGGCAGATCAAGAAATATCCAGTGGGAATTTTTCAAAACGCGTCAGCTGAAGGGTTTGAAGTTTGGTTGATGAAGGGTTGAAACAACAACATTATATGTTGCTATTTTTGAATACCTGTTTTGTATCATAGCTGCAACCCCTCTCGGTGTATAGAAATCCGAAAACAACTGATTGGGCCTCTTACAAAGAGAACCTTAGGTTGCAGCTGGGGGACTGCTCAACTGAGGCACA